ATTAAAATATAAAATTAATTATAAAAAATTTTTGCAATAACTTTGCAATTAGAACAACTTTATCAAAAAAAAATCTAAAAAACTATAATTTATAATTTTTGTTTTAATATAAAAATAAAAAATATTTATTAATAAAATTAAAAACTTTTATGTAAAACAAAAATTTTAATTTTTATTGTTTTATTAATAGATTATACATATGATTTTATAATTTTGTTAGTTACTATATAATAACTAACAAAATTATAAAAATATATATAATTTTATTAATAAAATATAATAAAAATTAAAATTTTTGTTTTATATAAAAGTTTTTAATTTAATTATAAATATTTGTTATTTTTATATTAAAATATAAATTATAAGTTATATTTTAACATACATTTTTTTAGATTTTATTTGATAAAATTATTTTAATTACAAAAATTTTTATATGGTACAAAACTCTTAAATCAACAATATGTTTCAATTTTAAAATGCTATTACTTAACATAAAGGCAAAATTTTCAAAATCTAACTGGTAACTTTGTAGAATTTATTATAAAAAACAAAGTTATCAGTCAGATTTTGAAAATTTTGTCTTTATAACATTTTGAAAATATATAATTGATTTAAGAGTTTTTATATCATAACTTTGTTAGATAAATCAAAAAATATGATTTTTTAATTTAATATAAAAATAAAAAATATTATAAATAAAATTAAATTAATATATAATAATTAATAAAATTATAAAATTATATATTTTATTAATAAAACATAATAAAAATTTCAATTTTTACTAATTATTAGTTATTATATAAAATCAAACTTTTGATTTTTATTGTTTTATTAATAAAATTACAGGTGTGATTCTATAATTTTGTTAATAATTATATATAATATAACAATTTTTAAATTAATAATATGATTCATATTAAAAATTTTTTTAATTTTTTAACTAGAAATAAATTCAAATCTAATTAGTAATATTATAGAAAAGCAATTTCTTGATAATATTACCAGTTAGATTTTGGCTTTATTTCTTAGTTAAGAATTTTAATATTGTTGATTTAAGAGTTGTTACAATATATATACTTCTATAATAAATTGCTAAAAATCAAAAAAAAAATAATAAACATAATAAAAATTTTATTTTTTATTATTTTTTTGAATTCCTGGTAATTTATTGTAGAGATATGTATAAATATTCACTGAAATCATTTTTTGATAAAATTAACAAAAAGAATTATTGAATTTAAAATTATTATAAATTTAAACAAAAAGTTAATTAATAAAATATTTGTTTTACTATTATTTATATTATAAATTAAAATTAAATTTAACTTTTTCAAGAAAATTAATTATAAAAGATAATATCTACAACTCCAATTGTAATTAATTTAAAAGAAAGCAAAAGAGAATAAATAAAATGTAAGAAATTAAAAAAAAGAAAACAAATAAAATAAAATATTTTTTTTGAATTATTTCTTTATAGTAAACAAAGATTTGATCGATGATAAATATATTGAACAAGTCATTATCATCAATCCTAAAGTATGTATCACCTGCATTACAATTATATAAGAGCAACTCATAGACGTTCCACTCTGTCGATAGAGCTAACTCTTACACATACATAATGGAACCGGAAAGCGAATCCTTAGAGTCACTGCTCGAAGAGAAAGAATGTATTATAGAGGAGAATGTTACAAACCACCCATGGACAAACTCACTCAACAAACTACTAGAAATTAGTGAGAAACTGGCACCACCAGAGACAGATCAACATCCTGGCGTATTAGTTCACACCGATTCTAATTTACTCGAAAGCTTGTTATTCTATTTTCCAATGATGGACGATACTACACAACTGGTGGTTTTGGAACACTTTACTCGATTCGCAGAATATAACGATATGAACAAGTGGATACTGTTTAAAGCTAACACGACCAGTACGCTATTGAAAACGCTAAAGAAACTGACTCAAAGTAACACGATAACAACCACAGCTGTAGTAGACCACAATCATTCTTTTGTAGTGGAAAAAATTTTGAAATTAATTGAAATCGTGTGCTCATTCTCTGTCAAAGTTTCTGATGTCAAGCTGATTTTAAACCTTATTTGCCTAACGAATGAAGAACCTAAAAGTTCGTTTGAAGAAACTACTACTACTACGACTAGTACTAATACAACTACTGGTTATCATGGACCGCTTGTCAAGCTATTATACACAATTGCACAAAAGGAGAATACCATTGATTTCTTTTATTTCCAAGGTGTGGAGTCTGGTCTTGTATTACCAACAATTGAAAAATTTCCAATGAATGGGTATTCGTTCTTTACGTGGTTCAAGATGGATTCTGCAAAACCTTATCATGACCTTTCATCCTCGGATACTAGTGACAATAGTAAAAGAAAGGATAATGAAAATAATGATGCACCTCGATTATTCTCATTTTTCAATAAATCAGGAAATGGAATTGAGGCTTTTTTCATGAACAAAGAATTGCATTTCTTCAGTAGAAAAGGAAAAGAGGTGGTGCACAGGGCTACAATGAATAATTTGAAATTCTTGCTCAATCGATGGTATTTCATTACTTTTGTGCATTACCCGTCAAAACGGGGCTGGACTTCATCGCCGGCTGAAATTAAAGTCACAGTTGATGCTGAAATTGAATGGAAGGCAAAATTCGATTACCCTGTCAGCTTTCCTGGTGAATCCTTTGCTAATTGTGTTATTGGCGCTTCGTCAGTTGATTGGCGCCATAATCATCAAAAATTTGAAATAGACACAAAAAATAACACTACCGACAAGAAAACCGCTGAATTCAAGAGTAGTAGTTCTTATCATCTTCAAAATTCTTTCTGTGGCCAAATGACAACAATATATTTAATTAGCGATGTACTTTCCCAAGATAAGATAAATTACATTCACTCACTTGGTCGTAATCACACCATAGAATTTCCAACAGCACATACAGACATCTCACAAATATTGCCTTCTCGACACATGATTAACGGGAAAATCTTGTTTCGGTTTCACGTCAAAGCATCCGAGAATGAAAAATGTTTCAATCTTGCTCCACGTAATAATTATCATGCACCATTTCAATTTGCCACTCTTGTATCGGTGCAAAAATGTTCCACGTTGAGTCTACAAAATGCAATTCGATCCTTAGGTGATATCGAAGTTTTATTTCCAATGATACAAAGATTTAACTATCTCGACTCTATCACACATCAAGCACCTTTTGAGTCGCAGGATGATTTCTTCGCATCAGAAAGTCCTTGTCGCTCATTTTTCGCGCTTATCACCGCTCTTTTACAAACTAATTATAAAAGTCAAGCTCACATAATAAAATCGCGTGGGATAAGAGTCATCAGTTTACTCCTACAACGGATTGGACCTCGATACTTGACAATAACAGCATTTCAAAGCATCGTAACGCTAGCAAATATTTTGTCTGGAAATGAAGAGCTTACGCTTGAGGTGTACACACATCTCGTATTTGAGTTTAGGCTGTGGATGTATGCATCGCTAGACATACAAAAATACTGCATAAATTTTTTAAAGAATTTTTGTGACTCACGAAAACAAATGTGTCGTGTCTATTTTGGAGTGCAATATTTTTTGGATTCACTACAAACAATCTATTGGTACGAGCAAACAGAAAAGTCTGCGTCACATCGACATATTGATGGTGCGACACGTCCAAAACCTCCACAAATAAAAGAGTTACGCGCAATAGTGCTAAATATTATACGCGGTTATATCATAAATGACATCACTAAAGATGAAACTGTGTGCATTCTACGTAATTTATCGGTGAGTGAAGATGACGCGCATCTTATCGAAATTTTGCAGTTGCTTCTCGAATTGCTAATTCAGCGTCATCAACGTCAAAGTCAAAATCCAAAGCCCAATCATAATAATAACAGTGGTTGTAGTAGTGGTAACAACAACAATAATCATAAAGATTTGGTTGAAAATATCGCATCATATGGTGGATTTGAGATACTTTGTGAGTTGCTTAAACGACGACGCGAAGAGACTGTCCGTCTTTATTGCATAAAAATAATAACATTTTTAATAACGTGCCCGACAACACCGCCTCAATTTGCAAAAAAATTAAGATTTATGGATACAGATCCATCGAATCTCGTGAAATTACTTACTGGAGTTCCGTTAACGCGCCCTATATATGAAGCACTATTAGAGTGGGCAATGGAAACTTTTACTCTAAATGGATTGCCTCAGGAAAACAAGTTGCAATCGAATATCGTCAATCAATCAGAATTACAACCTTCAACAATAAAAAACTTTCGCGTCATTTTTGTCATTTTTTCACTGTTAAATTGTGAGGGCACGAATCCAACCCTTCAAAACAAGATACTTGAAGAGTTTGTGGGATTTTTTAAACATAATGTTGATTATTGTCTTCAATTAAATCACCTATGGTGCTGGCAACGTTTGTTAGTCTCTCGTATTCCACCATATGCCAGTATCCAGGTTAATTCACCTCAGAAAGAGACAGCCAATTGGGTCATTGATTTGCTAACCAGTATTATTTGGAATCTATTACCAGTTGAAAAAAGTGGTTTTCGTGCTATCGAAGAAACTATATTTGTTCTTTGGACCAGTGACCGTGCCAATTGTCTGGAGATTGTTCGTGCTTTTTTGTCTGTTATGCTTTGTGTTTTAGCTAAAGATATACGTGATGCGGATTTAGTGAATTTTGGCATTATCAAATTGGTATGCTTGATGCTTGTCTAGAATTGGTATAAAAGTTATCTTTTGAATTGATATATGAAAATTGTTTTTTTACAGGAAAATGTTGTGCGATTAGTAATGTTAACTGAAGAGATTATATTCAATCATAAAGATATAGCTCAAGTCGTAGAGCAAGACATGAGCAGTAACGAACACAACACCTCACTATCTACAAGTTATTCTTCTTCATTCCGTTCAATGTATGGTAAGTAACCCCCTCCCCTTTACATTATTCTAACAAAACAGTATTGAAATACTTTCGGTGATTGATTTCTAGAAAACGGTCTTCCAGCACTTAACGCACTCGGCATCAACGATATGCCAGTCTTCCAAAAGCTGGAATCGACCCTTCCCTCATCCTTCAACTCAATGCTAAGATCCGACGACATAGTATTTCAGAGCGCGAGTAACCCATGGGAAGAAAACCAACTACTCGCCGAAACATACCTGGAGATTGTTAACGCGTTAGATCGGAAGGCAGGATGGAGGTTAGAAACAATACCACCTAATCGGATCGACCTGGTTAGCTGAAAATTTAAAACCTATTCGCCGAAAACGCTTTCCATATATATATATTAAAAATGAAAGGATTTTTAAAAGAACACCTTGTGTATTGAGCTGCAGTTTTTCGATTGTTATTGCAGCGTCCCGGCGACACTTGTCGCATGGTTTTACGAATCCTGATTGCTGGAATCTCGACCCCTGATCAAGTGCTACGCGAAAAGGCTCTCGAGAACCTTGTTGGTTTTATCGAGCGGCATGTCTTGACTCCGGACACTGCTTCCGCCAGAAAACAGCTCCAAGAGTATTTCTGCACTGATAGCGATATCTTTCGACAGCATATAAATATGCTTATAGGCGAAATTCATGAAGCTTTCATGTAAGTAATTATAATTTGCTTCTCAAAGTTTTTGAATACAAAAGTTCAATACATTTAATTCTAATTCTAATTCTAATTCTAATTCTAATTCTAATTCTAATTCTAATTCTAATTCTAATTCTAATTCTAATTCTATTTCTATTTCTATTTCTATTTCAATTTCAATTTCTATTTCTAATTTTAATTTCTAATTTTAATTTCTAATTTTAATTTTAATTTTAACTTTAATTAGAGCGAGCCAATCAACCGACGGGTCATATGAACACAAAACAGTTTTTACTTACTATTTTGCCATGAGTAAATGTCAAAGTTACCTTACTCCTTTGGAGGAGTCCAAATTCTTTAGTGACACTTTAGAAACGATATGGAAGAATTCAAAATTTGACGAACAGGCGTTTGTGCAATTTGTCACGTCTCGTGACTGGATAGCTATTCACGATCGACTTATAGTACCTGCGATGAAAGCCGCCAACGACGATGATTTCACTGTGGTGAGACGCTTGAAAGCAGCTTTTTCAAAGAAATTTGCAAAGTTTTTGTTTCGCTCAAAAAAGGAAGAGCAAAATGTGGCAAAATTCGAATCGGCATTTGATACTGAATTGAATAATATTGTACAGAGCTACAAAGAGGAGGAAAACAACCGTTTAACAAATGTGGAGGTTGACAAAAAGAATGAAATGAAGCGTACGTCTCATAGATGGCAATCAAAGTTTCACGAATTAACTCAGGAACGTGGCGCGTGGTCATTACAGCGTCAGACAGAAATTCATTGGAAATTAGATAAATCCGAGAATTATTCACGTATGCACCGAAAACTGACAATTAATTATGAATATGATCCGCACAATGAGGCAAGCGCGAAAAGAGATAAAACACCGATTTTACAGAATAGAAACAGGTCCAAGAGTGTTAGCATTCAGCGATTCAAAATGAACAATATGATCGATCCGTGGACAGACATGTGGACGTCGATTCTGCCAAAGGTAGACGAGTCAGAAAGCTCGGATGAATTCGAAGATGAAGAGTGGAATGTAGTGGCGGGTGATGATGTCGTTGGCACAGTGGATGTTTCGATAGATAAACCGATGTTTTCGGCTGAGTGTGAGCTGATTGTGTTGTTGTCGGCGATAAAAGGCCGTATTGAATTGACTACTACTAATTTATCGTTTTTTGTGGATCGCCAGAGTATTTTACAAGAATTTAGCAATATTGAGCAAGGTTCGGTGATTGTCGACACGGATATGCTTCGAGATAAGAAATGGCTATTGTCGGACATAAGAGAGATTGCTTTACGTAATTATTTACTTAGAAGAAGTGCTTTAGAGTTTTTCATGATAGATCAAACAAATTATTTTTTCAATTTTCCTGAACCTAATGACCGCAAGCTACTACGAAAGAAGATAATATCGTTAAAGCCCCCATCGATGGTCAATCAAGACAGTCGGTCACCCACTGAAATACTAGCAAATTCTGGTATAACTCACCGCTGGCAATGTCACGAAATATCAAATTTCGAATATCTCATGCATTTGAATACTATAGCAGGAAGATCTTACAACGATCTCTCACAATATCCAGTATTTCCCTGGATTCTAGCCGATTACGATTCGGAAACTATAGACTTAACTGATCCAAAAGTATACCGAGATCTGTCCAAACCTATTGGTGCTCTTGATCCCAATCGACTCGCACAAGTTCTAGAACGATATGAAGGTTTCGAGGATCCTTCAGGGCGCATACCGAAATTCCATTATGGGACACATTATTCAAGTGCGGCAACTGTTGCGGGATATCTTATACGTTTGGAGCCATTCACATCTGTACACATTTCCTTGCAAGGTGGAAAATTCGATCATGCTGATCGACAGTTTCATTCTATAGAAAGTACTTGGAACGCGTGTCTTCATGCGAGTGGTGATGTACGAGAATTGATTCCAGAATTTTTTTATCTTCCTGAATTTCTGATCAATAATAACAAATATGATCTTGGAGTAAGTATTAGTCAAGCATCATAATAATATTTACATGTTGAATTATGGATTTATTCATGCCATATGCTTGGTTTACAGGTTCGGCAGGATGGTGTTCGCTTGGATGATGTAATTTTGCCAAAATGGGCCTCCTCTCCCGAAGAATTTATTCGTATTAATCGAGAAGCTCTCGAATCTGATCATGTAACTGCAAATTTACATCATTGGATAGGTAAGTTTAAATTTACAATCCAATATTGGTATCTACATTTTACAAAATTTCAACTAATTATTTTCGCCACAAAATAGATTTAATTTTCGGCTATAAACAAACAGGCGAGGAAGCAATTCGAGCACACAATGTATTTTACTATCTCACATACGAGAACAAAATAAACATAGACAGTATAGAAGATGAACACGAGCGAAAAAGTATAGAACAACAAATATATCATTTTGGTCAAACTCCTATACAACTGCTTAGAAAACCTCATCCACAACGTTTTCCAAGGCGCGAATTCATAAGAAAAGATATTCTAAGCTGCCAAGAAAATCATAAACAATATCTCGTACAGTTGATTTCGAAGCGTCTGTTGTACATTGCTGTCTCGAATGTCGATATCGATCTTTTTTCCACATCACCGGTTCAGCAGATTGTCACTATTGATGAGGACGGGATTGTGGGCAGTCATCGGATTACGCCGAATCCTGTTACTGCCGAAATACCGTTTTCTGTTGAAGTCGATCCTATGTTGGAATATAAGAGGTATCATGTTGGACGAATCTTAGGAAGAGAATTATAGCTATTTTTATTCTCTTGAAAATTTTGGTGGTGTTTATTTGGTATTGCAAAAGCTAATGGTAATTTCTTTTGTCAGTCGATTGAATAGCCCATTTTGCTACGACGCAGCTATTTCACCGAGATGCTTTACGTGTAGTCGGGATGGAAAAGTGCTGATTAGCTGTGGTCATTGGGACAATACCATCAAGGTCACACTTACAGAAACAGGCAAGACCATCGATAGTATACCCGGACATGATGATATCGTAACTACTGTTGCTGTTAGCGAAGACGGAAGAACCATCGTCACTGGATCCCGGAGCTCTAGTGTTTTATCGTGGAATATCAATTTGAGTGGTGATAACGAGTTCTTGTACATTAGTCATACTCCTACGCATGCATATTATGGACATGATGATGAGGTAACAGAATCATTAGTTTTGATGATTTTGACATGATATTTTATTTTTTTTGAAATCTTTAATCTTAAAAAACTAGATAACTTGTGTGGCAGCGAATGCAGAACATGATATCTTAGTGAGCGGGTCTAAGGTTTGGAATCAAATTTGTATTCTTATCCTATATAATATTGTAAGAATTCAAAATTTATTAATCACTTTTATTATTATAAAAGGATGGCACATGTATCGTTCACTCGTTACGAAATGGATACTATGTTCGTACTCTGCGACCATTAGACGATATCGATGCAACAGTCGAGAATGTATGCGTTAGTAAGGAGGGCAATATAATTGTATATGCAGAACGGAAAGTAAGTAATTATTTAGTTATATAAGATAGTTGCTACTGTTATTTATTTAGTTTTGTTAAACGATTATTTTTTATTTTGTTTAGGATGAGTACTTTATATACAGTTACTCAATCAATGGAAAATTACTTGGAACTGTGGAAATTCAGGAACGATTAAATGACATGATCACCTCATCAATCAAGGACTACGTGTTAATTAGTAATGCGCGAGGGATTGCGTTATTTGATTGTCTGAGGTATTTGAGATAAACAATATTTTTTTAATTTTGCCTCATAATTTCAATATCTCATATTTACTTATGGTTAAAAATAATAATCATTATCCACTATCATCACTCATATTACAAATAGCCTACAACTCAACTACGAATTCGACATCCCAATAATCGCGCACAGCATCGCACTAAGCCAAGACGCCTCCCGAATATACTTTTGCGGCGGCGGCGACGACGGAAAGATCTTGATAATTGCTAATCAATCGCACGTAGAATCATCATCTACTACATCATCTGATTCTTAAGTGTACCCTTTTTTTATTGTTTGCTTGGCTAGTTTATTTTTTTCTTTCTTAGAATATTTATTTGTTTATTTATTATTATTAGCTTTTTTCTTTTGGGTGTGGTGGTTATAATTATATTCATAGTATTTGTATGGCTTGTATTTATTTACTTTATTTATTTAATGTTAGGTACCAACTATATCGCGACCATCCTTTACTACGCAAAGCATTACGCAAAATCACCCCGCATCGTCATAATCCTCATTGTAACACTCTCTAGATCTCTATACAAAGAACTTTTTGAATCATTTTTAGTATTAGTATAATTATCATTATTATCTACTGTCCATTATTATCATCATTAAATTACAATTGTATACATAGCGACTCTTGTTATAACAGTCTATTAATAAAAATTTTACTAAATCGAGAATTTATGTCAAAATTAGCGATAATAAATTCGGTTGATTTACTAATAACTAATAGATTTGTTTGATACATTTTCTATTTTTTAAACGGAACATGATGTTCCGGGTTATCAAATAACAAATTTCGGGTCTTGGATGGTCCTGTATTGCATACCCATTATTAAAGAACATAAGAACACTATTATCTTTCATATTTGCAACACCGAATCGAATAATACTAGTGTTAGTATTAATAAATATAATTAATTCAATCAAATTATTTTAACAACGATAATAATAATAACGAACAAGTCTTAAAACTAGAAAACTTTTATAAAGTCCCATCTCTATACTTTGTCTAAACAATCGAATTATTTGTTTATGTTCTAATATGTATCTATATCGAATAGGCAAGAATACTTGCTTGTCGCTTGCCAGTTCGTCGATAATTTATTATATAGTAAAGGCGTAATAGGAGTCGCTGTGTGTTGTCTTTTGCCTATTTTTTCAATATATATTTTTAATTTATTGTACTTAAAATTTATAAGTGTAAGAAATAAAATAGTTTACCTTTGTGCGATCCAGAAAAGCTGCTCTCATGTCCACTGTATAATTCAAATTAAAAAATCATTGAGTTAATTTTTTAATATCATTAAACAAAGCGAAAAACAACCACTTACCTATTTTCCCGTGTAAATGATTCAACTTTTTTATAATCTCTTCGATCACATCCTTTTTACAAGAATGAACATTATTTTAGAATTTATATAAACAAAAAACCTCATTTCCAAACTCTCCATCTCCTCTCACATTCACACAAATACGTACTTTTTCAGACCGCAATTGCTGATCATCGTCCAACGCGAAGCCAAGAAACGTAATAAAATCAGATAACTCATAGTAATTCGTATCCGGTCGAATTTTAAACATGTTTCTGGTGTCGTGGAAAAGATCCAAGAGCGGTTGAAGTAAGATTGGGTGTGTCAAATCGAGCTGGATTATTATAAAATATAAATAAATAAATTACCAGAATAGGAGATAAAATTATTATCAAGAGAGTAAAAAAAGAATAATAATTAACTTACTTCTGTCAAGTTCCATGATTTTGTGTCATCCTCATTATTAAACAAAAATCGGAATGCCAACATTCGCCTCAACACTGGTCCTCGATTTACCACCGGGAAATGATTCAATATCTTTACTTTGAATTGGGTATGATTACCGCATGAGGATGCGATATCTTCACATATAAGCTTTGCCTTTATTCAAATTCGAAATTATTAGCCATCATCTCTTGACCATTCTATATTTAAACAGAAATGAATGTAGAAATAATTACTTGAACAGGCCAATTCTCTTCATCGAAAAGTTCCAGGAGACTCGCTATCATTTGTTCAATCTCGCTATATATGGGCCATAATCGCCTGTCTAGATACATGCGAGTAATCACATTTATGGCGAGTCGTATCTCATCGTTATCTTGAAATCGAAGACATCTATACAATAATTGTTAATAAACATACATACACATATATACAAGTAGTTCTTAAAATATAAGCATAATACATACTTATTTTCAGCCAAATGATTCAAAAGTTTCAAAATCAATCGAATATTAAAACAATGTGAGAATTCGGGTGATGATTCCGGCTCTAAAAAAAAAAAGCAACATAAAATCGATAAGTATTATTTTTCTTTATTAAAAATTTAAATTCACAGTCGAAAAAAGTAAGTAATAAACGTAATAATATATACCTTTTGAAATCAAGACCCGTAAACTCTTTTCTTCTAGCTTGGCTTTAATGCCGAGAAACTCAGAACATCCGTAAGACTTTAAAACCCGTAATATTTCTGAAAAAGGTACGCCGAATTCCTTTTCTACGTTGCTTCCTTCCTGCACATTGTTATTATTGTTAAAATTACCACTTCGGGCCTATTTCAATTTTTCATTATTAGTAAAAATACCATAATCGATCGCCTAAAAACGATTAAAAAATAAAGCCTTAACAATATTACATTTATTTCACTAAATTTCTTTAAATTATCAAACGCGGCTTCAGCTAAAGTAGATTCGTCAACAAAACTTACTATAAAACAAATTGTTAATTATTAAAAGATGTAGACTGTCCGACTAAGTATCTAAATCTCAACATTAAATTTTACCTATATCCAATAGCCACGTAATAATTTCAGAAGGAATCGACCAACCCAATTCATATTGTAGCGCTATCCAATCTGTGCAGAATATTTCACGGAGTTCGTCTTTTTTACGTAACGTGAAATATAGAGAAAAAGCAAAAATATCAATTAATCGTTAATCTATGATAATATTAGCAACCTTTAATTTACCTAAAGACAAATCTTTTAAGAAAGAACCTATTCTATCGCAGGAGCCTTTTAGAGTAGGTACCGGAAGAGACTATCGTTTAAAAGTAATTAATAACAACGTACAACAGATCAATAACTAACTTTTAGAAGCATTACTTCTTAAATCAATAGATTTACTTCAGTAATTTCCTCAAAGAAATTCAATTGTTGCTCAAAATTTTTTTGCTCATCTCTTTCAAAGATCTGTGTTGTTAAATAACAAATGACCGTCATTAATTAGAGTAAGCCGATATAATGTGTGTATATATAAAATATACCACAAACCTTTAAAAGCTGCTCACTTTGTTCTTCAGGTAATACTTTGGCAGAAGTTTCCTCACGATCATATTCGGCGTAAGGATCTTTCAATTCATCCAGCAACGGAACTAACTTCATCATTTCAGTGACAGTAATATTGTTGTTGGTTTGTAAATAATATTAATGATCGGGGATAAAAAAAAATATAATGAATATATCAAAATAAAAAATTACCGTCCCATCTTTAACACTTTTCTCCAAATACTGAATATCATATCCTTTCTTGTCGCGTGCCTTTTTCTCACTTAACAACGACGTCAACGAGAACTGATACGAGTTTTTCGTAATCCCGCCATTAACGTAATCGCGTAACGGATCATCTTGAAAAGAAACGACTTCTTCAACCGGCACATATTTTCCTAGTGATACGCGTTTACTTTCTCGTCTACTCCTTCGGCGTGGATGAGGTTCTTCTGAACTCGGACTATTCATAATAATTTTTTATATTTTAATTATAACTTGTATTTGATTTGTGGCGAAATAACAGTTAATTATATAATATAGACCTTTCTCGTTTATTGACAGCACTATTATCATTAGTCGGCACGAAAAAAAGATCCTCAAAGTTTGTGTTCATTAGAAATTTATCGTCATCATCGTCCTCAAGGATCTGTCGTCAATAAGCTAGTTATTATTAAATTTAATCTGATAATCATTTGCTCATCTGTGTCTATTAAATAGTAGTAAACTGAAATCTAGCTGCTTTTTTGGACAAGAAAGAAAAAATATATATTTACGTACGGCTGGAACTTCTTTAAGGTCTTCTTCGTCATCTAGTGAAAGACCGGCGATAGGCTAGAATAAAATATATCAACAGAAAATTATACATCAGAAAGGCCATTTTCTTATAAATAGATGATTAATTAAACTCACCAGTTGCTGAGACGTTTTCTCGGGCGTGTTTAAACAGGAAGAAGAAATAGACTCTGTTGAGGGAGTCTTTGGAACAGAGTCTGAAGTCTCAGAATCGCAGTCTTTTGGCTTACTAAAGAAATACCGTTGTTTCGTAATTTAAACGAAAAACTTTTGTTTATTAATAAAAATTTAACAATTGTTTATTTTATATATATGAATAAAATTCACCTCTTTTTATTGTGAGTAGGCATCCTTTGAAAGAAATTTGTAATTGGAACATTGCTGCAATTGAACCAACAAAACCAACGAACGAACGAACCAAAAGAAAATAAAGTTAGAACTCCATAAGAAACCAAAGTGAACCGCAAGATAAGTAGTATGCATACCGGAAAGATTCGCGTGGAGAAGATTTTACTTTAACCATTTTATTTTCTAGTTTTTTTACGCGTCAGTAGAGTTTGTGTTGGTTTCAATGTATGCTAATTATCGACAAATGTTGATCGGCATAAATACAGTGTGTGACACTTAAAGACTGATAGTTTTTTTAAAAAAAAGAAGGCAGCTACTACAAATTTTAATGATTGTTGGCATATGTCACAGTCTCACACGTATTTTGTATTAATAAAACGATCCATTGAAAGTTTGATACATAAACTTACAATATCGATATTAACATGTAACCATATATCAGAAGACCAGGGAGCAGACATGTGACCCTCGTAACTCGAGTGCATCTATGTACACCCCAATCCATTTTGGTTGGGCGCATTTTTGTGATCTGCAGCCAACCGGCAAACAAATCCTACACAAGGATAAAAATGTAACATCTACCCTGGAAGACAATTTTACGTATAATCTTGATCAGCTCTAATCATATCAAGATTAGGGTGTTCATAGATGCATCCACGAGTCCTCTCGAGGGCTATTACAGAAGTTTACTTGTATTATTGACAAAATCAAACGTATAATGTTAAAAGAAACAAGTGTAGGAAGTTACAAATATCGAATTTTATTAATGTTGTTATTATTTATTAGCACATTTTCGCATAACCCATCGATGAAGAGGCCGCCCGTTAAGATTACATTGATAATGTTTCATTGAAGTGAGGCCAGGTCATCCACAATACAAGGCGGAAGAAGAAAGACTTAAAGATTATGGTCGATGTTCAAAGTAAGAACAGGCATTGATAAATAAAAATGGTGCAAATCATGTAACGCCACTCATTTTCGACAAGGCTTTTCGACATGGACGTCGGAGATTGATTACTTCATTCACAACGCTCAAATTCATGCATGCTACCATAAATTAGTATTGAAAGGTTTTGGATATTGAAAAAATAGGAGAAGGTGGCTATAGAGCCGTTTTATGTGCTAAAAATAACATGGGAAGAATCCTTGAATGGAATCAGCAAACAACAAATGGCTTCGTTTTGAAATTGATGAATATGTCGCATTGAAAACAATCAGACACTCCGAATCACTGTCAAAGGAATTTCTTAATTCACATTTACTGATGATAAACTCGTATAATACCTGATATGCACCTCATTGATTTCTCGCAGACTGCAACGATGGGATTATCAATCATATAACTACACTGCATTTATGGATTCACCAAAAATGAAACCATTGGTCAATATCTTCTTGTTTTGAGGTGTTTTGAAGGGGATTTGCGCAAAAAGTTGCAACTACCTGGAAAGAAAAATTTGTAATGTTTCATACTATTTCTCGTGATATGAAAGATATCCATGACCCATAGATAAACAATGTAGTAATATTTAATGAGCTTTTACAGCAATTTAACACGTATTCATTTGATATTGCATTTTTTATTTATCAAAAAAATATTAATTAATAATCTAAAACCATTATTTGAATTGTTTTTAAACTTCATGACTCTATTATAGTCACATTTAATTTGGGCACTTAATTTTAGCCGGCATTAAGAATGATGTATTAAATTTTGGCTGGCATTAAGTTTAATATTAAATTTTGACCAGCATTAAAGAATTTATTTATAATTCAAATTGGTAAAACTTTAGAGCTCCAGTTAATTTTTGTTTATATACATTTATAATTTATATGTGTTGTTTTTGTACTTCTTTATTTTTATTATTGTAAAAAAAAACAAAAAAAACTAATTGCACATAGAGATCAATAAAATATTAACCGTGATTGTTATCTGATCATTATATGATTGTTATATAAATTTATTTTGGCATAAACTGGTATATTAGCATTAATATTTAAAGTGTTAATTTTAATTTAATAATTTGATTTTAATTTAATAATTCAACAGTTTGATTTTAATTTGACAATTTAGTTTTAATTCAATTAATTTAGTTTTAATTCAATCAATTTAGTTTCAATTTAGCAATTCAGTTTAATTTAATAATAATTTAATTTTAATTTATCAATTTGATCAATTTGGTTTTAATTTAGCAATTTGGTTTTAATTTGTTAATTTGATCAATTTGATTTTAATTTGATAATTTAGTTTTAATTCGTCAATTCAGTCAATTCAGTTAATTCAGTTTTAATTTATCAATTTGATTTTAATTCAGCAATTCAGTTTTAATTTAGCAATTCAGTTTTAATTTAGCAATTCAGTTTTAATTTGTCAATTCAATTTTAATTTGACAATTCAGTCAATTTGGTTTTAATTTGTCAATTTGATTTTAATTTGGCAATTTGATTTTAATTTGTCAATTTGGTTAATTCAGTTTTAATTTGTTAATTTGTTTTTAATTTGTCAATTTAGTTTTAATTTGTTAATTTGTTAATTTGGTTTTAATTCAGCAATTCAGTTTTAATTCATTGTTACGACTGGAAATTTTCATAATTTTCATAATTTTCACAATTTACATAACTTCTATAACTTTCATAATTTTGATAATTATTACAATTACTGTAATTATCATCATTTACAACAATTACTGTAATTATCATCATTTACAACAATTACTGTAATTATCACAACTTACATAATATCTATTATTTATCAACTTATATAATTAATTATAAATATAACATTTATTAGTAGAAAATATTTATTATAAATAAAGTGTAATTAAAGCTTCGAAAAAGGTATTAATTGATCAATACAAAAATCTAGCTAATCAATAAATTGTTCTTGTTTATTGTTAATGAAATTTATATATTAATTGATTGAATAATAACTTATTAAAATACTTACATTTATTGCACACTATTAGACACCTGCCAAAGTTACTATAAAATATCAGTACTGTATTACTATAAGATTGTTTCACACTAAGTAAATATAACATCTATTAGTAATAGTGAGAGTTTATATAATCAATAGAAGAAAACATACTGTGTAATGATCCCAAAGTATATTTATTATGAAGAGATTGAGTAACTATAAAAATTACTGTCATCGGATGTTGACTGAACATCTACATCATGATAATACTTATCAGGAACCTGATCATAACATTGTTAATTTGATCAATTCAATTTTAATTTGATAATTCAGTTTTAATTTGATAATTCAGTTTTAATTTGTCAATTCAGTCAATTCAGTTTTAATTTAGCGATTTAATTTTAATTTAGTAATTCAGTTTTAATTCATCAATTTGGTTAATTTAGTAATTTGGTTTTAATTTGTTAATTTGATTTTAATTTGTTAATTTAATCAATTCAGTTTTAATTCAGTTTTAATTCAGCAATTCAGTTTTAATTTGTTAATTCAGTTTTGAAGCTAAATATTTCAGTTTTTTAAAAATAATTTTAGCAACTAGAGTTCTGAAAAAAAGTCTGATTCAGTTCGAGTCTGGTTCAGTTCAAGCTTGAATTAAACTTGAACCTGACAAAAAGTTCAGTTTAAAAATTTGAACCTAATTAAAAATCTGGTTTGAATTTGATTCAAATTTTGAATCAGACTCGAATCTGATCAAAAGTTTGATTCGAGTTCAAGTAATTGTTAGTTGATATTCTAAGTAAAGTTATAGATTATAACATAAGCTATAAATTAATATAAGATAGTTAATAGTTAATATTTAGAATGAATATTTAAGAAGTTATATGAATTTAAAAATAATTTTAATTATTATAATTTTAATTTACTTTAGTTTTAGTATAATAAATATTTATTTTGTTATAGTAATTATAAACTATAATTATAAATAAAGTTGTAGTCAGAAATAAGAGCTACATATTGGTATAAGATAATTATTATTAATAATAATTATTCAGAGAGTTACATAATATTTACAATCAAATTTAATAAATATAAAAATAAAAATACTTTAGTTATCACTATATAAACTTTTAATTCTTACTAAATATCATAAATTATACTTATAAGTAAAGTTGTAACTTATATTTAGAGCTATAAATCAATATATGATACTATATGCTGAGCTTTAATCAAACTCAAATCAGACTCAAACTCATATAATGGTTCAGTTCAAGTTCAGTTCAAACTTTGAATCTTTCTTGAACTCAAGTCAAAGTCTAGTTTGAGTTTAATTTGAATTTTGAATTAAACTCAAACTCAAATAAAAGTCCAGTTTGGTTCAGTTTATAGGAATACTATCAACAATTATCTTTAATTAAAACAATATTCTAATAAAGATCTCAAAGTTATTTTTGATAACTTCAAAGCATTCCATAGAGAAATAATTCATGAAAATATATCAACTATAGCAAAAGAAGCATTTGCAGAATTATTAGAAGCAGAAACTGAATTATCTGAATCAGAAGTTCAAACTTTCTTACATTAAATTCAACAAGATATTCACCAATTCTGTCAACAAAGAGAAAAATACTTGAGAAAGGTAAAACAACAAAGAAGAATAACAGTAGAAATTTCCAGTTTAAAAGAATTATTTATTGAAGAAGGATATAAAGAATTTATTAAAACTATTAAAAATTTTAATTTGAAAGAATTCAACAAAGTGAATATCATTTCAAGATACTTTGATTGAGTAATCAAACCAATCAGTTAATAATCAGCATCATCTTCCAATACTAAACAAAAAAAAAGAGTTACAGTAATTATTCAAATTCAAAAAATATGACAAGAATTGGAAGACAAAGAAATTTAACAAGAAAAAAATCAAGAAAAAAACCAATCAGAAGAAAATAATAAAATGACAAATGAAATTGCTAAATAATTTAAAACTTAATTATCAAACTAAATATCTTAATATTCATTATAAGACAAGACAATAAAGAAATCAAATATGCAAAAATAAATAATTTTTATAGAGATATTCAAGATTCA